AAAGAAACAAACTGTGCTCGGCGAAGCCATTTGCAAAACAAATGTAACCGGAGAGATTTGCAGACACGGGCTGGCGGGCAGCGGCGTCCCGGAGGAGCCCACCCCACCTCTGCCCCGCGCCCCCTCCCCGCCGAGGCGTCACCTTCCCCTTCCCTCCCCAGCGAGAGGGCTCGGGCGCTGCGGGGCCGGGGCTTCCGCGGCGCTCGGGGGGCGCAGCAGCCGCTGCCCGGCAGCGCGGCGGCAGAACCGTACTTACTGAAGGGGCAGTTCTCCTTCTTGGTGCCGCTGACCTTGCCGTTCTTCTCGATCTTGAGAAAGTACTTGTTGTAAGAGTAGAGCTTCCTCTTGCGCACGTCTCCTTGGAGGTGATTGTAGCTCCGCACGTGTCTCCCCGCACTGGAAGGAGAGGAGAAGGACGAGGGGAAGGAGGATGATGATGAAGAAGAGTTGGTGGCCTCCGGGGACAGCATGTCCTGGCCGAGGTCATGGCAGGTGACAGGCACAGAAGACACCAAGAAGAGCAGCAGCAAGCAGCAACAAGGCAGGTGGGAAAAGGCTGAGGCACCATTTGTCAGTATCCATTTGCACATTGTACTGAAACTCTGGGCGCTGGAAAATGTCTTATCAAATGAAACATACTGGAAGGGTAAAACCTGGTAAAAGGCAAGTGGAGAGCCGGTGGTTGCTGCTTCTGGTTAGATCCCTCTGAGCTCTGATCTGGCCTGAAGTAAGTGCACCAACATCCATAACTCAGGGGACAAATCGCCTCAGAAGTTGCTGCCTTTTAATCCTTCGAGTCCTCCCTCAGAAAAAAGAGCTGTAGGTTTTTTTTGGGGGGTTGCTGTGGTTAATCCTCTTCCCCACCCCACCCCCCCACATACACACACACTCCCCAACCTGGTTTGAGACTTCCCAGTAGTTATTTTGTTCTCTTCCTCACTCCTTTCTTCACCATCTTAGATGCAGAAAGGTCTGAAAAATAGATGACAGCAAAGTGAACAACAACAACAACAAAAATCAATAATAACCAGCGGAAAGGGGTGCTGGAAGGGATTTTTCACACATACCCCTTTACACACACACACACGCACGCACGCACACTTTGTGGCTTTGCACCTTCTTCTGATCCCCACCCCCTTGCCTTTTTGCAAATCCCAAACCAGTTGCACAACTCGTCCTTTCTCACTGACAACCCCAGAGGAGGCAGTTTCTTTGTTTTGCTTTGAATTCTCCAGAACAGTATTAAAAAAAAAAAGTCCAGAGAGAGAGAGAGAAAGAAAGGGGGGGTGGGTTGGGGGGGGTGGGAAATCCCAACTTGTCTCCCCCCCTTCCCTTCCTTTCCCTCCCCCTTTGGTTGTAAACAGGTTGGAAGCTGTAGCCTAAATGTCAGCGATTACAAGTCAGAGGTGGGATGTGCCTCTGGTCGTCAACCCTTATTTGCAGGGGGTCAAGCAGCGGTGGGACATCTGAAACCCTTCTGCAGTTGGAGCGAGCGGTGCCTGCTGCGGAGGGAGCCTCGGGAGCTGCCCTCGCTTCCTCCCGGGCGGCAGCGGCAG